CAAATTATTACTAAAGACATAATCACAGTATCTCTGCCCCCTTTCTGCTTTGGTTTTTTACAAGTAATAGTGAGAATTCTGCATAATTTGGAAAGGAAGCTGTCAGAAAAGCTGCATCTTCAAGTGTTGCAACTGCACAGCATGAAGACTTCAAAACCACAGTTAGTTCTACCCAAATACCTCAGTAAGATACTACACTGTACCTACAGAAATAAAGTGAGTCTGGAGCAATTAGAATGTGGCAAGAGAACTGTTGTCTTATTTTTTTTAATAGCTACTATACAAAAGGAGTTATAATAGCCTTCTTGTCTGGAAAGACAGACACAAGATAGTACCAAATTGTGTTTTACAGAATAAACCAACACAGGGTAAAAGAAAAGAAAACAAAACAAGGGACCCTAAATGCCTGCTTCCACTTTTTCCTCTTGAAGAAACCATCACGATGCTTGTCCTCACCTGAAATGTCATGAAGTGCCATGATGACGGTGAGGGAAAAGTCAATGCTGCACAGTCATATGTAATGGGAACAGTGTACCTATCCCTATAAAAGGACTCATTATGCATTATTCACATTCGTTAAATATATCCTACTGCTTTGCTTGAAAGCATTGAACCTGCAGCAGAGCCCATGTTCTAGGAACTGCTGCCAGCAAAAAGGCCAACTTCACCTGCCATATTAGCTCCAACTGCAGTCTTGTTTTTGCATGAATGTGCTGACAGACAAAACATGACTAAAATCCTGTCTCCCCTTGACGCAATGAAAAAAAATTGCATTAATTTAATCACACAGAGATTTAACCCGTTACTTAACAAATGCCTGAAAACACTGGGGGGAAAAAGTTGGAAAGGCCAGGTGCTGTTGATGCAAACTCAGCAGAGTTGCTTTGCACACAAGTAAAGATACAATTAGTTAAAAATGAAAACCAAAAATGCAAGAAGGAAGCAAATGCAAATAACAGCAGCTCACCTTTTGAGGGGGTGGTCCGTGGTCATCCAAATAAGTGGAATTTCCTACAAAAAGGATGGAGATAAACAAAAGTCATCCAATGCAACTTCAAAACTTGCCAATTCATGGAACCAGTGTATCTCTATCTCACTGGTTCTGTGGTGTCAAATAATTCAAGGAAAATAAATACTCTCTGCTTTAATTTTTGATTAACAGGGGAAAAACAAAACTGATTTGTTTTGGCTACATTCTTGATAAAAGATTAGACGTACATTGCCATTTTAGCAAAAAACTAAATGGGCCAAGGCAGCTTTAATTAAATAATCACGGCATTCAATTATTTGCTTGACAAAAACTGTCAGCTGCATCCTTGTACATTTTAAGCAAGTGAGCACAGTCAACCTTAAAACGATTTCTTTAATAAAGTATCAAAGGCCTTCATCAGATTTTGGTCTGATGGAGTTGACAAGCATTCACTTATCTCTCTTCTGACATGGATCTTCCCCAACCTCCAAGGTACTTTTTTGTTCCCAAACAGTATCGATTGAATGGGAGTTGTATTCTGATGTAATTACACCTGCCCTTTCAAGATGCTCTTTTAATTCAGAGGAAACACTTCAGAAAAAAAAAAAGCTTCTAAAATTTTTAAGTGCTCCCTTCTTAGTTAGCTACAATAAAAAAGGCAACAATTTCAGACTTTTTACCCATTGCTTACAAACACACACTGATATATAAAATACACCCTCCCACACACACCCATAGGCTGTCTTCCCTGCAGCTGTCCTTCCTGAACCCTTCTCCCAAAGGATTAATCAGGAGCTTTCCCAACGTGTCCCAGCAGAAGATCAAACCTTGCAGCAAGTCGAAAAGTTCCCCTCAGGCCACACATGCCTCTCCTCTCAGTCATCCTCCTACCAAAGACGGCAAAAATACCTCTGCTCTAACCTTACATCAGTACAGAGTAAGAGAATCATTTTTACAAGTGCCTACTAGATATCCAAACGTCACACGGCGGAGGACAGTAAAAAGCATGTCCCACTCGTGAGCATCTCCGTTCCTGGGGTGTTGAATGGGCAGCAGATACTGCCTCTGGGGCAACACAGGCTAGTGGGAGTAAAACATAATTTGGCACCAACGAGCTCTTGTCTTGTCAATCTGGCCAAAAGGACACTATGTCACATTGTTTTGCGGAGTGCCAGAAAAAACAGAGATTTCTGGATCCAGGAGGCAGGAAGAAGTTTGTGTGTGAGCGAGTGTGATGAATTTCCATGTACAATAAAAAGTCAGGATTACTTTGCAGAAGTATTTTCCTTTCTGTTTTTTCTATGCTTTTCTAGCATGGGTTATGAAGTTATGAAGACTTGAGTCAAAAGGCTTCCAACTCGTCTAAAGGTAAGTCCCAATACCCCAAACTAGTTCTTTTAAAGATGTATGTACCTTGATCTTGCAAGAGTTCGCACAACTACAAAAGCCTGAACAGTAACTTTTCGATGGTCGTCTGAAATCGTGCATCATCTTCTGAAGCATACTAGAAACTCATCTTTCTATACATTTGACACAAATATCCATCCTTCAAACAACTCAGTTGATTATTTTAATGCCATGGATAATATGGGTGATTCCTTATATTCAGGATAACTTCTATTATCCATTCCTCTGATATGATGCTAATTGCCAGGGAAGTAATTCAGTTCCCAGACTGCTAACAAGAGTTGTGTATGGCTTTCCAATAAAGTAGCTACTCCACACACAGTGAGATGGACTTGAAAAAGCAGCATTTCAGGAAAACACAGTTACACCTGGGAGGGGAGCAAGCAAAGCTCTGTCAGTGCCTCTCCTTTCACACTCATTCAGGAATTAACTTTCCTGTAGGATCAGGCTGTTACTCCATAGTTCACAACGACTTTCTCCTCTTTGTAATTAATTAAGCTGAAAGACTGCCACTGTTGTTGATAAAAAAAACACGTGGTTTTCTCATTGTGTCAGGAAAATTGTTTCATTTTGATCCATGCTAAAACAAGTGATGTTTGCTAAAAAGCATTTTTGTTGTCTAAACAAGTTAACATGTTAGAAATGCCATAAACATTATATGAAAACTACTAATTTGTTAAAAAGAGTAACAAAACTTTGAGTTTTATAATTGGTATTAAGAAAGTTATATTAATAGTCATATATATTTCTCATCTCCCTGAAACATTGGCAGTTTATGCTCACCCAAATAAAAACGAATATTAACTACATATATATTAACTATATCTTTAGCAATCACAGCCCATTTTGCTGTAGAGAAGGATTTGAATTACCACCTTCTCTTGAGAAAACAGATCATTACAGTCATAGCTTATACAGTATCTTACAGAGTAGCGTCTCGTGATGGGTGTAAGGAAGAGTTACATTTCAGTGTATACATACATATACATGTGTACATAGAATAGAATAGAATCATTGAGGTTGGAAAAGACCTCTAAGATCATCGAGTCCA